TTCAGTACAGGCAAATAAGCCAAGCTAAATAGTCACTGTAAAAGCTGTGAGGTAGGTGTTAGTACTCCAAACAGAGGTTTCGTGCTCTAAGACAGAGCTTTGCAGTAGCAGTTTCCTATATGTCCAGCAGACTTTTTTCTATGCTATGCTAAACTTCTCTGTATTCTTTATACCCTCTTAGAGAAGCTTTGTTTATAAAATGCACTATTAAAAGCAGCCAGCTGAAGAAAACAGTGCTAAGCATTTTCTTCCTTTTAGAATTTAAAAAAAAAAATTAAAATAACTTGTTAACCTGCTCTTTTGTCTTTTCCATTATTGCCTTTTAAATAAAGCCTGTGCTTGTCTAGGTGCTTGGCTTATGTTATGTAGCATATTGTTGCATTAAAGGCAATATATTCAGGAATAAATTATGCCAGAAAGAGGCAAACCCGAAAGATGTTCACATTTTGCCTATGGGTTGTGTTTTTTTTATTTATGTGCCACCTTCTTCCCAGCACAAAAGCGCACTTCTGGTTCTAGCTTTGCTGGATGAACACCAGTATAGTCATATATCTGAAGTGGGGACTGAGAAGCTGTGCTGTCCTTTATGTTAAGACTGTTTATAGCTCCATGGCTTGGATGTTAGAAGCATTGGAGTTTTTTGGTTGTTTGGAGGTTGGTTTGGGTTTGGAGGTTGTTTGGGTTGTTTTTTTTCCCTTTTTTGCTGTGTACATCACCATGGCCTAAGCCAGTGATTTCTGGTGCTGGATGTGAGGAGGCTGGTCTAGGAGTGCTGTGCTGCTGGGTGCCGATGCTGTCTGCCCTCACAGAGCTGCCATTCAGGTATGGCATTGCCTGGGCTGTGGAGAAGGAGAAGGGGGGGATCGCTCACCATACGGACCTTGCCAGAGGATACACAAAGTCTAAGTTACCCAGTTATTAAGCCTACAGTAGCATTTTTAAGTATTTCCCAGACGTGACCACCATGATATTTTAGTACTTGGTATTTGGGTAGAATCACAGAATCACAGGGGTTGGAAGGGACCTCTGTGGGTCATCAAGCCCAACCCCACTGCCGAAGCAGGGTCACCTACAGCAGGCTGCACAGGACCTTGTCCAGGCAGGTCTTGAATATCTCCAGAGAAGGAGACTCCACAACCTCCCTGGGCAGCGTGTTCCAGTGCTCTGTCACCCTCAGAGGGAAGAAGTTCTTCCTCATGTTCAGACGGAACTTCCCATGCTTCATTTTGTGCCCATTGCCCCTTGTCCTGTCGCTGGGCATCACTGAAAAGAGTCTGGCCCCATCCTCCTGACACCCATCCTTAAGATATTTATAGGCATTTATTAGGTCCCCTCTCAGCCTTCTCTTCTTCAGGCTGAACAAGCCCAGCTCCCTCAGCCTTTCCTCGTGGGAGAGATGCTCCAGTCCCATCACCATCCTCGTAGCCCTCCGCTGGACTCTCTCCGGTAGCTCTTCATCTTTCTTGAACTGGGGAGCCCAGAACTGGACAGAGTGCTCCAGATGGGCCCTCACTGGGGCAGTGTAGAGGGGAAGGAGAACCTCCCTCGACCTGCTGCCCACACTCTTCTTTATGCACCCCAGGATCCCATTGGCCTTCTTGGCAGCCAGGGCACACTGCTGGCTCATGGTCAACCTGTTGTCCACCAGCACTCCCAGGTCTGTCTCCGCAGAGCTGCTCTCCAGCAGGTCCTCCCCAAGCCTGTACTGGTGCATGGGGTTGTTCCTCCCCAGGTGCAGGACCCTGCACTTGCCCTTGTGGGACTTCATCAGATTCCTCTCTGCCCAACTTTCCAGCCTGTCCAGGTCACGCTGGATGGCAGCACAGCCTTCCAGTGTATCAGTCACTCCTCCCAGTTTTGTGTCATCAGCAAACTTGCTGAGGGTACGTTAGAGATCTCTAGGTCAGTAGTAAGTGACATAAATTGTCAAGTTGTGGCACCAATAAAAATATTTGCCAACAGCTACCTCTTAAACCTTAAAAATGTGTAATCCTGGTGAGAGCAAGATTGAACAGCAGGTGTAAAATGAGTCTTGTGGTATGAGTGGTGGTGGCCGTGCAACACTTGTGACAGGAAACCTTCATACATTTCTCTTGTCACCATTGCGAGAGCTCCTTCCTGTTTCCATATACATGTGGTAAAGTCGGTTCAGAGTAATTATGTTCAGATTAGTGTCTGTCTTCGTCATTTGTGGTTCAGAGAATTTCCCCCTGTCACCAGTGTCACATTAGGAGTGTTGCTTCAAAGTAGCTGGATACCCAACAGCACATTACGAGTGACAGTCCATTGCTGAGTGTAGTGGGCCTGCTTTCTCTGCCTGTGTTTTGCCAATTCCCTGTCTTATTTATAGCGCGGAAACTTCCTCCATGACTCTTCTTAACGCAGGTAGTTGCTTAATGGTTAGCTTCGTTTTACAGACAGTGGGACTGACACCAGGGGTTTGATTTTGTTGAGTGTATGCTGTGTGATCAAGGTTTGGATTAGATAATTAAACCTTCTGGGTTCAGTCTCAGGTTTTGCCAGATTTTCCATGCCTAGGAACAACTGAAGCTGTGAAACAATGTTAGAAGGTTGTGAAAGCTCAGTATTTGTATACCAGAAATGTAAGTCGGTCCAAATGTCTGCAGGAGGAAAATGATGGTGTAGTTACCTTCATAGGTCTCTTCTTAAATAACTTGTAACATTAAAGGTAACATTTTAATATTGCTATCATTTAATTTGCAACTTTCTTAGTACAACTGAAAGTGTAATTATTAATTAGCAGTTGGGTGATCTGTTAATCAGACGTTCAAAGAAAAAAGAAAATTGCTGAAGACTTAAGCAGTTACTGTAATGCGTATAAGTGAGCAGGTACTCCTAATGTGTGTTTGTATCTACCGCAGATGTAGGAACTGCGTACTCTTACAGCACTCTGCTTTTATTTGAGGCAGTAACACCCAGGAGCAAACAGAATCTGCAGGCTATGATGAGTTTGCCTCTGTATTACATTTGTTATTTTACCATTTGAGTGTTTGTTTTAGTTCTTGTGAGGGATATAAACTTTCGGGTAGTAATTCTTGCATTTATAAAAGATGGCATTTGTTACAAGAATATTTAAAATATTTAAGTAAGAAGTTTCTGCTGCAGCTCCTAAGAAGTCTGCTGCAATTAGTTGAACTTGCTGCGCTTTGTAGGTCTTCTGTGACGCTTCTTGTTTTGGCAATGCTGCTGTTACCTAACAGAGTGCTTTGGCATTTAATAAAGTTACATTTTAGCCTTATCCCTTATCACTTGCTTACTTGTAGCTGCCCTAAAGCAGGCTTCCTTTTTGAAATTGAAAAACTGCTTTGAAAAAAAAAACAACCACAACCAAACTTCTTGTAATTAAGGGGCAACCCCCCCACTTAAACCAGTGCAACTGGCAGTGAGTTAGACCTACCATTTAAAACAGGTTTGTCTGTTAGTGAATAAGGAATTCTTTTTCCTCTTGAAATGGGCAGTGAGAGAATGTGAAGAAAATACCTCTTTGCCGTCATCCTGACACACACCCTCTAATTTTTCTTGCAATAAAAATTTACTGTCTTTTACTGCAAAGCTTTCAACTCTTGTTCTTTATCAGTATTTGTGCACGAAAAAAGTTTGCTAAGCCCCTGCTATCTTCCTTGTTTGCAGGTCTATAACCTAGAGGTTCTCGGACTCCCGTTACTCATGTCTTGTGTATCCAGCTCATGGCCAAAGTTGTTTACCTTGACACTAAAGAAAGGAGTGAACAAGCTTAATCTGTTGCATGGGGACAAACTTCTATCCAGTCTTCTTTTTCACGCCTTAGGTCTCCCTTATGTGTTCTGTCTTGTGAAAACTGTTCCAGGCTCTCGCTTTTCAAAGTATTCCACCTGGTGGCAAAATTAGGGAAATAGTTAATGGAAATGGTTTACACAAACATAGATCAAGTAGTGTAAGAACCTGTAATACAAGTCCTAAATTATTCCTGTTCCGTATTTTATAGTGTAGAGAGAGAAATTAGAATATATCTGTGTGCCTTAAAGAAGTTTCATGTTTCTGGTTTTTACATTTATAGCAAAGTAGATTTGAGCTTTAACACTTTATATTTCTGTTCACTAAAGATAAATAAGGTGGGATGCCCTGGCAGTAAGAATGGAGGATCATTCTAACAGTGAGAAGACAGTGTACTGTGCATTTGGTACTTTGTTCTGTTTCTTGAAACTTCTCACTTCTATGTGTACCATTTAAAGAGAAATTGGAACAGACTGTTGTACTGCCAAGTCAGATAGGCTTCCAGATATTTCCTGGAATATTTGACTCCTAGTTTTAGAACAAGTAAGAACAGTGACTGTCAAGAGTTATCTGGAGAATGATCCTCTGTTTCAGAACAAGGAAGAAGTTAATTGATTGAATAGCGGTGGCTTTTTCAGTCTGATAGCAAGGGAATTGTATGGGATCAGTATTCAGGGGAACTAACTTACATAGTTCCTCCTTCCACTGATGAAATATCTGGTATTAGTCTTTCCTGATCTAGTCCTGTATACTTTAAGGCTGCTGAACATCTTAATTTTAGAAATGGCAGGGCTGGAGGCTGCTTGTCTTTTTGTATTGTAAAGTATAAATACCTTAAAATGATAATGTATATGACTAGGAACTTTTGGACGCATTTGGGAATCCACTAAAAGATAGTGCCCAGTAGCTGAATGTCCCAGTGTTCTTTGAGTGTTCAGTAATCATGTCAGCTACCCCATTAAATAGATTTTGAACTTTGTTCCCTACTTTGCCCTTCAAACCTATTGTTAAATATTATCCTGAATATGCTTTTATACTAAATAAAAGATTAGGTTTTTTTGCAGATTCAGATTTTCCATTTTTATATCTGCTGCCTTCTGTGTGTATACAAGACCATTAAAATGGTTGAATTTACTTATCATATATTGTTTATTCCAGGCTAACCACAGTATATAGAAGCATTGCACTGTTACAGTACGATTTAAGTATTTCTTTGTTTTCTGTAGATCAATGTCAGAGTAACCACAATGGATGCAGAGTTGGAGTTTGCCATCCAGCCAAATACAACAGGCAAGCAGCTCTTTGATCAGGTAACTTATATGTGTGTCTGTGTATGTATGTGTACAAACACGTAAAACTATTGTGGGTATGAAGGCATAGTTTGAGAAAGTGGAAATGTTCTCATCTATAGATTATGTTTTTTCTTACATTATCTAAGTTATGCTATTGGTTAGTTTGAACTTCCTCATTACTTCTTATGGCGTGTATTAAATTAAAAGACAACTCTGTGTAAATAGGTTAACAGTGAGGCTTCAGTTGAATCATGCATATAGAACTGCTTTGAAATTAGTGATATTTTTAATGTCTAATCACAATATAGTTGCAACTGAGATATAATTGTTAGAATTACATGCATGAGAAATTTGTCATAGAAGCATAGAATGGTTTGGGTTGGAAGGGACCTTAAAGATCATCTAGTTCCAACCCTACTGCCATGAGCAGGGACACATTCCGATAGACCGGGTTGCTCAAAACCCCATCATGTAGCCTTCACGAGTTAATAATGTATGTAACAGTAAAAGTTCGTTAAGGAAAGCTAACTTTTTTTTTCCCCTTATGAATGGAAGCTGTAGATACCTTTTCATTTCCCAAATATTAGAAAAGTAATGTTGTCCTATGATCCAGTTTGAAATTTGAGTTGGGAGGAAAAAGAAGACTTAAGTGAAAACGTTTTAATGTGCCTATGGATTGCAGACCCATCAGAACTACACGTTCTTGCTTGACAGTGTCTCTGTCATACACCAAATGGGCTAAATTAATGATTTCTTTGAAAGGGTTGTTCTCGCATTCATTTCATGTGATGCTAGCCATCAGAATCTTGAAACAACTTTTTGATCCAGGTTGTGGACTGTTATAGAAAATACTAATAGAAGCTTGTCAATGTGTCATTTTGTTTTTCCTGGAGAAACCAATAAATATGTATCTAGATCCAAAATGTGGGCATTTAGTTAAAAATGCAGAAGTATTCGAAATCACTCTTCAAAAACAGTTTAATTATATCAACAATTACCTCTAGTAGAACTGTCGTTTTGGTCTGCTCCACTATAGGTGCTTAAAGTATGTATTGATGGGTATGAAGAGAAAGTAGCACGTTGAAAGAGCTGTTTAACAACTCTGACTTTAAAAGGTCAATTGGAAGTTTAAATTAAATGTCTTAGTATCGAAGTTGAAATGGGGAGAATGTTTATTGTTTTGTAACATTGAGCTTTTTCTTCTAGAGGAAAGAAATTTCATTTGCAGTTTTTGAAATGACTGCCTGACTTCTAACACTTCTACCCCCCAGCCCTGTTCTCTAACATCAGTAGCCATGTATCTTCAGCCTCTACGTAGGAATAGACTTCATGACTCTTACAGACTGCTTGAAGAAAGGGACTGTCCTGCTTTTTGTTTAACTAACACCACCATAAATAAAAAGTATGCTATTCTGTGGCACAGAAGCCTCAAGCTGTTACTTGTCTTTTGCCAACCTTTGCTATCTTCTGCCATGCAGTACTGGGTGGGGTGACATTCTGCTGTGTAACGTCTTGTGCCCAGGTAATCAGGTTTATCCAAACTGGGGCATTCACAAACAGTGAACAAAGATACAGCTCTGAATTCTTTTTCATGCTCTCTTCAACTTTGTTCCTCAATTCACTGTGTGGCTTTTCACATCTCACCAGCTTTTACAATCAGCTTCTGAAGTTTAAACTGAAAAACTGTTAGGTCAAGCAAAATCAACGAGCATAGTTGTGTGTGAGGAGAGAAGCGTTTTCAGCCTGATCTTAAATTCGTATGTGAGTTCCACAGAGTAACATCAACACCTGAAAACCAGCATAAAGTTTTCAGACAAAAGTTACGCTGTTTCTCTATAGAAAGAGGATTGAATAGCAATGTTACTGAGAGGACTGGTCTTCAAGGCTTACGCAGAAATGGTGGACGTGACAATAGACTTGTTAGTTATTGCGTGCAGAAAATAACCTTTCCATGAATTTAGCTGTTGTCTAGTGTTCCTCTACATCTTTGGTGAATAACTTGCCCTTTTTTTCAATCGGTGGTTCTTTTAAGCTTTTAATTGGTGTTTTCTGCAGTTGTTGATTTGTTTGCCTTGCCATGTATATGTTTTCATCATCTTCATCTGCTAGCAGACTAGAATTCAGCGTTTGACATCTGTGGCTTTCTCTTTTCTCTTCCATTGTGAAACTCAGTAAAGTTCTAATTTATTGCACAATCCCTTTTTAAGTTTGTTTGTTTTTTTTTTAAATTGCTCTTATTTCAGAAGTTGTCTTAGCATATTTACTGTTAGTCCTTCTGTCTATCCTGTCAGTGGTCAGAATGGCCAAGAGGGACACTCTCCTCGTTCAATCAACCAATTTAACATCTATAACTTTCCTAGGAGAGGAAATCCTGTAGTGGGCATGTTTCCACACCGGTGGTAATGGTGGGGGTTGCTTTGTTCTTTTCAGTAAGGTGTTAGCACTGAGCATCAGGACCTCTGGTTTACTGTGGTTGCCATGCAGAAAAAATGGGAGGGTTGTTCTCTTTTATTTTAAGTTATACCCCACTGTCATTTCCAGATATCTCAGAAGCCTCCCTTAGGATCTTTTGGAAGCTTACTCAATGAAATTCTTGCTAGGTTGTCTTTGTGTGTACGTTTTGATTTGCTAAAATATGTCTGTTGCTCTGGTTGCTTCTCCAAGAAGTTTTTATTGCCTATTAATACTGAAATTGTAGGATGTGATGGTGAGTAAATCTGTTTTACGGATGCGATGAAGACTTGCCTGAAGCAACTTAATGAGTCTTTTGAGCCAGAATCAAACTCCTGCATTTCTCATTCTGTACTTATTTTTCATATCATGCTACTGCAGTGCATAAGTGCTGATAATATCTTGGTACAAAGTTTCAGGAAATTTTTTTCTTTCCTTTGAGCAGAGAGGCAGTGATAGACAATGCTCTTCCTTATTTGTGGAGCGTGAAGTAAAAAAGGCTAATGTGTAAGCTGTTTTTAGTGTTGATTTGCAAGCACATGTAAATCTGCGTTGCAGTAGACAAGTTGTCTGTATTTAAATAATGTGCAATGTGCATCTCAGTTGAAAGGCCTTTGTTAGCGGGTGAGAGCAAAATGTTGTAATGTGAGCATAAGCACTTGTCGCCTTATGGGCAGAGCCGTTGAGCATCTGCAGTTCTTATTGACTTCCTTTGCAGCTCAGAGTGCTGATCAGGTACAAAAGCTCAGCTTGGACAGCTGCAAAGTGAAGAGCATTCTCAGTCATGTGATACAACCCTAAGTAGTTTGATCAGCATCATATAGGAGATCTGTGCCAAAAGAAGCAGCACGTCCAAAATTTCTGTGTTGGACACCAAATTTTAATGTTACTCAGGACCATACTAGTAACATAAATCCATTCTTAACATTTCTTATATTCTAAAGTAAATGATGTTGGAATTCTAGAGATAATAACTGTGTTCACTAAAGGAATCAGATTGGATCCATGAACATTGTCCATTCTGTGCTTTGGACTTGAAAGTGAAGGGGTAGAGGAGGAAAAAAGGTGCACACTTGGGTAATTGTTAAGTAATAATACAAATATGCAAGGCATCAGAACTAAGTTTGCACAGCTATCTTGTGACATTTTCTAATTTTCAAAATCTTAATTTTGCAACCCGATAGTACTACTTTAAAATGGAGGAGGATCTATGTGTAAAATTCTGTTTACCTCACATGCATCTGAATGCTTCCATAAAACAGCCTTCAATAAACCAGCTTGCCAGCATGGTCCAACCTGGGAACATACGTAAGTACTGCCATACTGGATCTTTTGGAGCCAGAGTTTACAGTTATTTGATAATCTTTGCTGGACCTTTCTGATTAATTGATTTTTGAATCCACGTGTACTTTTACTATGCCAAAGACTTGTAAGATAGTTCCACAATTTCATTATACTCTGTAGTAAAAGTGCTTCTTTTTGTTTGCTTTGAACCTGCTGTCTAATGATTTGTGTTGATTTTCTTAATTCGTACATTATGAGAAATAATAAATAATGATTTTCCTTCTACATGCCGTACAAGTTTTATAGGCCTGTATTATGTTTTTCCTTTCCTCATTCTCTGTCAGTAGCCTTAGTTCTCAGCTATGCAGAAAATGTTCAATATCACTGATTGTTCTTTTCAACATTTCTGAAGCATTTCCAGTGCTGCAACATCCTTTTTTAAGTTGTTGTGACCAGTCCATATATAGCATTAGAGATTTTGGAATACCATAGACATGTATAGTAATATTACAGCTTTGTTGCTTTTTTCCTTTACGAGAACTTTGCGTAATTAACATTATTGTCTTTTACATACAGTAATTTGTTTTTATTAAATATCATCTTTTATTGAAATTCATCTTCCTTTACCGTTCATTCACAGATCTTTATGGAGGGTTTTCTGCAGCAGATTTTGTCACATCAGTTTCATCCTTTTTTGCAGATCAGATATGAAGTCCTGGAGGACTTTCCTAGTGGTTACACTACAAGTCTGTTGTGAAAACAGTTTGCTTTTTTCTTTCCTTTTAACTAGAATATCCATAAAAAAGGCTTTCCTGCTATTGAAGGACAATTTTGTTTCTTTAGTAGCCTTTGGGAATAGACCTGATCAGAAATCTACAGGAAATCCATGTATGGTGTATCAGCTAGATCATCCTTATCCCTGTTATCATTAACTCTTACAAGATCGCAAAAATATTTGAAGGAGGTGATTCATCCTCACTACATCATACTTGTCCACAAATATTATTCTTTATTATAGTTTCACTGGTTGTCTTCTGTTGAAGTGGAGTTGTCTGCAGATCACTTCCCAGACCTGCTTTCAAATATTAGGGTCCTGTTTGCTACCTTGTATTCCTTGGGTGCCGAGTTTGATGTATGCAGTAAGCTGCACACTCCAGTTGGTAGTTTGGCAACATGGTGTTTGAGTTTACTCAGAACTCTGACGTGAATGCTTCCCTGAACCTGATGTTTTGCTGCTATTTTAATTTTTTTTTGTTGTTGTTCTTGTAAAGCTTGATTATGTTTTGGTTTGAGATGGTTTCTGTAGCTTAAATTACCATAAAAAAAAATCATGTTGTAGTGATTGCTGATGATTTTGGATCATTTATCCGTAGGTGGTGAAAACTGTTGGTCTTCGTGAAGTCTGGTTTTTTGGGCTACAGTATGTGGACAGCAAAGGCTACTCAACTTGGCTGAAGCTAAATAAAAAGGTAACAATTCCCTAACATGTGGGCAAGTGTACAGTTTGAAATACACTTCTGTAAGGCTTGCTGCTTTCTAGTAGTAGGTGAGATATAGCTGGCTTCAAATTTAGTTGAAACGTTGCTTTTCATTTGCTGTAAATGACAAAATACAGTGTTAAGTTTAGTTATAAAAGAATATGCAAAGCTGCATCAACATTTAATTTGACAAGAAGATAACTGTTTCCTGTATTTCCAGTACTGTGGTAGTGCATGCATTAGGAGAACTTAAATTCATGTGGTTGTCCTGTTTTCATGTAGCAAAATATAGTATAATAAATGTTTTATAGCTGGGGGGGGGTGTGGGTGTGCAGTATTTGAGCTTCAGAGATTTTTATGTATAAAGCTACAGATTTTTAAGCAAGGCACTAATAATAGGCTCCAAAACTTCTGTTTAGGTATCAAATAGATTAATTGTAGGATAATTCCACCCCCCCCCCCACCCCCAACCAGCACTGAGCACCTTGTGTCTCGCAGCTATTGGGAAACCAGGTTATTTTACTTAAAATTCTATTTATTAATTTGAATGGTCGCTTTTTATTTTATTGACTGTCAGGTTATTAATGACATTGTTTAGAATAAAGAGGGCTTTTTAGTTCAACTTAATCAAGAACACCTTTTTTATCTTCAGTATTAGGAGGTAAATTGGGAGATTTTTAGGAGCAAGTCACACTGTCTACATATATATAATATTTCCTTCTCCTCTGTGGTAAATCCAGTGAGTTAAACGTGCTGCTAACCACCAAAGCCGTCTCTTAGAGTTCCATATCTGTGTCTTGTTTCATAAGCAATAAACATTTTAGTGCTATAAGTATTTTGTTAACCCTAATGGCTTGCAGGGGGTTGGAGACTGCAGGATTTGGTGCATCACTTGTGAAAAATATGTGAGATGTTGCTCTATGACTGTCTTTAGCAAGTTAAGTTTCTGGTACAGTTCAGGAGCAGCAGTGGTGTGCCATTTTTTTTAACTTTGCCTAAGGAAGTTTTCTTTTTTACTTTTATAAGCTTGTAGTGTTTAGTTCTTAAGTGCGTCATCATAAACTGGCTCCAACTTGTAAGTTACTGTTTAAATATTTGTATTAAATACAGATAAAGTCTGATAAATCACAGAATAGATATGCAAGTAAGGTTTTATTATGGCAGGAGCACAATTAATCTTTCGCTGGTGAGATAAAAGTGAAATACTGTGTACGTAAATTGGAAACAGATGGACAATAATGAAAAGTGAGGAAAACTTTTAAAATTGATATCTGAAATGTTGAATATAGTACTTATGCTGCCTTACACATGTGATTAAATGGTTGCATTATATTTACAGTTTTTGATACTTCTTACAAGGAAAGCAAACAGATGTATCATTTCATGTGTAGTGAACGAGTTCTGGTGGGACTACTAGTTCACATAAAATGAAATGTGTGATAAAGTGCTTGAGGAATTGGGATGTAGGAAATTTATTTTGTTATGAATGTATCTTTTAAAAATCACTGTATTGTTTTATGTTAAAATTAGTTTAATTTTGAATGTTTTTGCTTTAGTCATAATCAGTGCTGAAAGCTGAGCCCAAATGAAATGGAACATTCTCCATAAAAATGAGTTTTTGTTGAGATTTGAAATACACGCTCACTTAGAACTTAAGATGACCACATCTGATCTATTCACAAAAATCATCGTTATAAGGCTTACCCTGTCTAGAAAAGTAGTATGATTAATGGAATTATGTTTTTTGCACAGGAACAAAGCACATGTGTTTAGTTCAATAGTTCAAAGACTTTTACACTTATACTGAAGAAAAGTGCTGTAGTTCTTACTAAAGAAACCTTGTTAAACCCTGATTGGTTACTTCTTGCAATTCATCCTTGGATATAGTGTTTTTTTAATATGTATTGCAACTTCTTTTTTTCCAGATCTTTGATAAATACAAATTCACACAAGCTTACAAAAAAAACCTCTTAAACAGCATTTGAGTGGTATTTCAGAATTGTCTGATTTATCCAAATTGGTGTACTTGATTTCAGTGCTGTGTGAACCTTTAGTGAGTTCCACAGTCGGCTTGTCAGGAACCACTGAATTTCCGTGTAGAGGAACTAAAGTGTTCAATACTACTGAGTTACTTACATTTAATATACCATTTAGTCCTCTTTTTATTTTTTCTTTATTCGTATCGCTCAGGTAACACAGCAAGATGTAAGGAAAGAAAATCCTTTGCAGTTTAAGTTCAGGGCCAAGTTTTTTCCAGAGGATGTATCTGAAGAATTAATTCAGGAAATAACTCAAAGACTTTTCTTCCTGCAAGTCAAAGAAGCGATCTTAAATGATGAAATATATTGCCCACCAGAAACTGCAGTTCTTCTGGCTTCTTATGCTGTCCAGTCCAAGTATGGAGATTACAGTAAGGACATACATAAACTAGGCTACCTAGCCAATGACAGACTTCTCCCTCAGCGGTGAGTGAGACTACATATGTTTTTGCATGATCTGCTGCATATGAACTTAGTTACAGCACATTTTTTTATAATTAAAATATTAAGTGATAATGTGTATTTAATGGTAGCTTTCTTAAGTGTGTGTGTTTTGCTACTAAAATTTAGAGACCCTAATTTAGACTCCAACGAAGAAGTGTCACGACCATGGTGTTTCTTGAGACCTGTTTTCTGTCCTGTCCGCAGCCATCTGCCCAGATTTAGTTGAACGAATTTCCAAAGTACTCCAAAATGATCTAATGTTTCTGGGGGCTTGCTTCTGCTAAATTTAAAATCGAAACAATATAGAAGTCACTAAGGTTCATTTGATACTTACTCCTTTTCTTCAGTTCTTGATGTTTTTGTACACTTCCAGGATAATAATTTCCTGAAAATAATTATAAAGTATATTGCAAATAAAATATATTGCAGAAAAATGCTAACCTGGACAGAAAATTTAGAAACTAAATTGTTGCCATTGCTGTTGTATCAGTCACTCATCTGGGTGGTTAGGAAAAGTAAACGCTGAGACTATAGTTCTCTTTCTTTATGCAACTGAAACTGTGCTCCTGGCATGTTTTGTCAGCAAGAGAAGCCCTGCAACGCAAGTGTACAAAGTTAGACAGTTGTGTTGGTGTAGCTGAATCCGTAGCGATGTATCGTGGACAAATGTGTGCTTGCTAGGTATGTAACATTAATGCCTCTTCAGAGAAATTAAAGCCGTGGAATTATTTGAGGTTTCCTTAAAACTCGTATGCTTTTTCTCTTTGGTTTGAAAACTAAAAGTAGAAACTCACTCATCAGTGTAACTAAACTTGAGAATTCTCTAGTAAGCGAAAAAGCGTTTCAAAGGATTGTAGTGAGATATTGAAAGAAATATTTGTGAAAATGTTTCAGATTTCTAAAAATCCTGGCTAAGAGTTTGGTTTTGGCTGTTGACTTCCTTCTTGTGACAGTGAAGTCTATAGCTCTTTCTACAAAAATACCCTTTGTCAGGAAGGCAGAGAGATGTAGAACCAGTAAAACTCATTACTGAATATGTTAGTTCACAAAGCTTGGTTTTCCTCAGTTATGATGACAGCCTGTGAAAACGGGAGTGCTTGTGTACAACACAAATTCAAATACTTTAGATGCTCCTTTTCAGTAGACAAATGTTCAGATGATTTCCCGACATATGCTTTCAACCAGTCGCGTGCCAGTCTGCACTGAGTGAGCACATAGTTTTTGTATTCATTCCACCACTATTATTCTTGTTTTGCCTCCTGTCATCAGGAAATTTGCTAGAAGATTAACAAGTATATCATAAAAATACTTGTATAAAGTATATGCAATGTACAGAACAATATACAATATCACATATATACAATATACAGAACAACATACAATATAATATCAAAAATACTTACTTGTTTCCCAAAGTAGACTAGCTTTGCAAAATTTTACCGAAAAAGGTGAGAAAAGATTTGTGGTTCCCGTTAATTATAGTCTTAATGTTCACCTGTCAAAACCACTGCATATTTCTTGGCTCAAAACTATGAGCTGGGTAGTAAAAACAAGGCATCAAGTCCTTGCTGAGTTATTCTGTTGCAATAGTCCTTGCATATCTGCTATTGATGTTTTATCAGTAACATGTCAAGAGACAATGGGGGGGGGCCAAATGACGAGATGGCTGTCACCAAAGACATTGCCAGCTTTGAGGTTATCGCTGAAACACAGAATCATTTGAGAATGGAAGGGGAGCTCTGAAGATCTAGTCCAGTTCACCTACTCAAAGTAGAGTCACCCAGAGAGGTGTTTGATGCCCCAAGCCTGTCAGTGTTTAAGAGGCATTTGGACAATGCTCTTAACAACATGCTTTAACTTTTGATCAGCTCTGAAGTGGCCAGGCAGTTGGACTAGATGATCGCTGTAGATCCCTTCCAACTTAAATATTCTACTCTAATTACAGCAGGTTGCTCAAGGTCTTTTCCAGTTGCGTTTTGAGTATTTCCAAGGATGGACATTCTGCAGCCTCTCTGGGCAACCTGTTCTAGTGTTTGGCCACCTTTGCGGTAAAGAAATACAATTAAAAATAGCGTTGAAATGTATTTTATTTGTGCCTGTCACTTCGTGTCTTTCAACTCAAATTCAATTCAGAAAGAGGAAAGTGCAAAGAACTTCTACAGAAGTAGAAATCTAACTTAATTTGGAAAGCCCAAGAAAGCACGTCACCATGAGGGTGACCGAGTGGTGGCACAGGTTGCCTGGAGAGTTTGTGGAGTCTCCCTCCTTAGAGATATTCAAAAGCTGTCTAGACGTGGTCCTGGGCAACTGGCTGTGGGTTGTCCTGCTTGTGCAGGACCTTCAGAGGTCAGTTCCAACCTCAGTTTCAAACCATTCTGTGAAGAGCAGCTTTGGGAGCAGGGCTTTTATTTTCAGATGGGCACTTGTGTGGCGTGATCCTGGGACAGTGTATTTTGCAATATCCTGTTTTGTCCTTTGTTTTTTTTGATTGTTAGCTTTATATTATACTGCTATGAAAGCTTTTGAATGTTTTGTAAATATCTGGTGGAGGAGTAGAAGAAATAATGGTAGAAAGCAGCTCACAATGTAAATAGCAGAATGTAAGGATCAGTCCTGATTTAATTATGGAACTTCTTTAATAAATTAACATTGTCCTAGAAGACTTGGAATTATGTAATAGGAACTTGAACTTGTAAATGATTGCCACGATGCTTTTAGGTTATTACAGCCAAAGCAGGCTGTTCTACTTTGTATTCTGTAACAGGCTTTTGTAAGTATTATATTTAGGGTTTAGACTTATATTCAAGGCTAAAGATGAGAAAACAAACAAGCAAAAAGGATGTATTGTCATTACATTTTTTTGTATAGTTTAGCTGTGACCATGTCAGCTTTGTGCAGGTGCAGAACCAAAAACCTCTGCCTCAGTTTTGAAGAGGAAAAGCTGTTAACACACATGCACAATAAGCAAATCAAAATGAAATGTGGCTACCACTGAAAAGTACACTTCACTAGATATGGGGCAGAGTAGCAAATCAAGTGACAGAGAGGTCATATAACAGAAGAATCAGTGCATTAGTATCTTCTGCATCACTCAGTCTATTCCTTATTGTACTTTGCTAAAAGTGTATGGAAAGTAGTAAATCCTTACTTTCTTGGGTAAAGAGAAAAGAAGAAAAAAACCTGTTCTGAATTCTTTAAGATTATCTTGGAGACTTTTTTTTTTAAATTGTCCTGTAAAATAATTTCTGTAGGAATGCTTGAAATGCTAGGTACGTGGAGTAAAAGCATAATAGAGTTATCATATGCATTTGATTTCTTACTGCAGTACTACATTAAAAGTTCATGTAGACCAAAATATAATTCCATCATTGCGGTCTGCTGTAGATAAACCTAAATAGTTTTCTGAAACTGCTTCACTATTGATTTTATTTATTAAAAAAAAAAGGCACAACAAAAAAAACCAAACAAAAACAAAAATCCCAACACCCCCTTCACAAACTAGTCTGCTAACTTGTCTTAATGTGTTACTTTTTCTTTCATAGCAGAATGAAAGTTTGAGTATATCTATGTGTACCTAGAGATTAACTTGCAGCATTGTTGTATGAGGATTTTATAGGTCTGCATTTTCAGGTGTTCTGAACGTTACATTTTATGACTTTACTGAAAGGTGAAATATGCTGTGGTGTGACTTTTGTATTACAAAGAGTATAGAATACCATGAAAGAAGAAGTGATTTCACACTATTTTAGAAGTGTATTTGTGGAAATACAAAGTTGGTGTGTCTGTCCGTTTTAAAAAGATGAGCCGTGTATAGGAAGTCATGTTGAAGTTTATTCAATTAAAGCATATGTTATGCTGCGTAACCAAACTTTCTTTTATAACTTTAAGAGGTTAAATTGGTTGTCAGTGTCATTGTAATAACAACAACTTCTATTCACAGCGTGTTAGAACAGCACAAACTGACAAAAGAACAGTGGGAAGAAAGAATACAGAACTGGCATGAAGAGCATCGGGGAATGTTAAGGTAATTAAGTTAAAAATATTCTAAGACCTTTAAGGTTTTTTTTATTATTATTAGGATGTATTTTGGGAGGCGGCATAATTGTTTGGAAACTACTTTCTTTTATTCCGACCAGGGTAGGTGGTTATCAGGAACTTCGTGAAAGCTTCAGTGAGGGCTGAGTTTGTAGTTAGGTTGTTGGCTTATCTACATGATTTCTGGCAAAGTTATCAACCACCTTTCTCCACAGTTGCCTGCCTAAGGTATATTTAGTGTTTCCTTAGCTCTCAGGGTGAAAAGACGAAGTGCAGTGATTGAATCGTAGAATGCTTTGGGTTGGGAGGGACTTTTAGAGGTCGTCTAGCCAAACCCCCCTGCAATGAGCAGGGACATCTACCACTAGACCAGGTTGCTCAGAGGCCCCTCCAACTTGACCTTGAATGTTTCCAGGGATGGGGCCTCCACTGACTCTCAGGACAACCCGTTCCAGATTGGACTGTACTTAGGTATTTGGATGTAGATCGCTACAAGTATCTGAGTCAATGTACATGTGAATTTCAAAGAGATTTAATTGCTAACCAAATTTTATGCTAAGTAGTTATTCTGCAGTTCCCTTATTCTCACAACGTACTTTTGATTTGTCTACACTATGCTATTATTTTCTTCTTTCATCAGGGAAGATTCTATGATGGAATACCTTAAGATAGCACAAGACTTGGAAATGTATGGAGTCAACTATTTTGAAATAAAGAATAAAAAAGGAACCGAGTTGTGGCTAGGAGTTGATGCTTTGGGTCTGAATATTTATGAGCATGATGATAGGTAAGTGGCTAATACTCATATTGTAGTTCTGTCCTAGGAGATCCTATCTGAGATTATACAAACCCCACCTTATTGTGTGTTCAATAACATCTGGCAAAACAGATGTAAAAGAAAAAGAGGGATAGCCGTTAACTGCTGGAATATTTGAATTTTAAGTATTAAATAGGGATGCAGAAGAAGGGAAAGGAAGAGCAGTTCTGTGGAAGGTTAAATTTATGTTGCTTAACATGGACGTATGATAGCTAGACCATCTTTACATGGTTTCTTTATGTACTGTTCACTCCCTCAAGACTTGCCCTTCAGTCAGGATGAAATGACATTGAGAAGCTGAGCACCATATTTAATGAGAAATGTTTTACCATGAGGAGTGACTAGTATTGTGGCTGTTGGAGCATGAAAAACTTCGGTATCTGAAAGTGAAACTTTTTAGACATCAAAGAAAATAGATGAGTCTTGCGTCCTGATATAGAGATCAGAGATTCTGTCCTATATGAAGAGGGATAAAGCTGAAATGTACAAACTTTGTAGAATCTGAAGAACAGACTACTTCTTTTATTTCTTTCCAAACGCTAGTTAGTAGTGTCTGATGTCAACAGTGATTTGAAGTAAAATGTGTTGTGTCAAACACCAGATAACAGCTGTCAACTGAATCGAAACTTAATGCTGTTCAATGTATATACTCTGTAACATAATTCTGTAAGCCTTAATTGCCATTAGATGGCAATATAACTCCTGAAAGAAGAAAATATTCAGAGAATGTTCAGCTCAGATTGAACGATCAATCAATTTTTGGTATTGTTTAACTCCTGCTTGCAATTAAGATCATGTAAATTGAAAAAAATTTCTGTGCTCACAGAGGAAAAAAACTTCCAGTTATGCGGTTGGTACATGACATTGTAATGGTTTCTGAACTGAATTTATTTTAGTAAGATGCAAGGGACATAAATTTAACTTGAACTTTGGAAATGTAAGAGCATGGATCTTCTCAGTTAAACAGAAGTACAACTTTGTTGAAGAATAATTTAATTTCAGTCTTTGAAATGTCAGACTTTTCTCAAATTTAAATAGTTATTCTTTTCACTGAAAGTAAAATTGTCAATAGCTTATAAAGAACCAGCACGTGATTGTGCTGTTTAGCATCTATTTAACGATAGTAGAAGTCACAAATTAGCATCTATTTAATGGTAGTAGAAGAAGTCACAAATTGAAATTTCTAAATTCCTTCTGTTACAGTGCCATGTAACATATTCATTATGTAATTTATTTATTTGATGGAATAATGTGTATAAAAAAAAATTGTCTACCAAAATATGCTTGAACTGTTGTTGTTTTATAAATGTAATGAAGTGTGATAGTGAAAATGGTACGGAGTTAAGACTTACTGGACATATATATATAAAATGCACATCTTTGCTGCTTCTAATGAGAACTTTTCCTCTTTGAAGGCTGACACCCAAGATTGGTTTTCCGTGGAGTGAAATAAGAAACATCTCTTTTAACGACAAAAAATTTGTCATAAAGCCAATTGACAAAAAGGCCCCTGTAAGTAGTGTGTAGAGTAGTATGCCTTTGTGTATGAAGAGATTTAACCCTGCAGGGACTTGCTTTGTCATTATGGCCTGAGTAAATATTTTGTGACATTTATGGTTCTTATTGGTTGAATAGTTAGTAATCAAAAGGATATTTTGATTTTCAAGTACGGTATGTTTATTTTGTGTATTCATTCTGGTTGATACTGTTAAGTTTTTTTTTTTAAGTCAACTGATATCTTGTGATATGTTGAAAAGCCATAGTGTCTTTTTTGTATTACAGTTGCACATTTTATGAGACTTTCTAAGTCAAAACTTTTTCTGAAATAGAGTAGGGGATAGTCTCATTTTTCTAGAAGCTTGAGTAAATAATTTTGTGTAAGCTAGCAAACCTCTACATGGAGGAACTGAGTTGTAATTTTGAATTTATCTTGCATGTTCCTTACAGTAACTAGATTTACAGATTATGGTGTTGGATTGCTCAGAGGATGAATGTCAAAATATTTGTAAACTTAAATTTAACAAATGCAAGCATGCAGTGATGCTTTGAGTCTTATCGCAACTGTATTTTTAGGTTAATGGATATGCTGCAATTATTTTTGCTAGGATTTTGTGTTTTATGCACCCCGTCTGAGAATTAACAAGAGAATTTTGGCACTGTGTATGGGAAATCATGAATTGTACATGAGGAGGAGGAAACCTGATACAATTGAAGTGCAACAGATGAAGGCCCAAGCTAGAGAGGAGAAACATCAGAAACAATTGGAAAGGTAATTAACAAATTTCCATGAAATAGAAAAAACTTCCTCTACCCTTTTAAAAAACCCTAAGTCATAGAATATCAGACATCTTAGCATTCTAGAAAAGAAAGCTGCTTTTCTTTCTGTAAGATGTAAGCAGATGTGTGGATTGGCATGGCTCACCTGTCTTAATAGAAAGCTGTATCTCTCTTGAGCTTTCAGCATAGTAATAGTAGCCGTACTGTTGTTTCTCATTGTTTTTTGTGAAACAGTCTTAACTCCGTGTTGCTTGATTCTTAGGGACTTTTATACTCTACAAATGAACCTTTAAAGCAAACTCAGTGAAGAGTGTCATGACTTACCTTTTGTATATTTAGAAAATAACGTAGCCATTTCTAGTCCAGGTGAAACATCAGCCATGTCTAAAATGCAAGTATAATTGTGGATATACTTGGTTGAACTGTAACCAAGGGTGGTAATCAGTTCTGTTCATAAATTGTTTTTTTTTGTACAGTATTTTGAAACAGAAGCTTGGTGGTTCTTGCGTTGTAAACTGAATTTGAAACGTTTGAAATTATGTGCTTCTCTGCTAGTTGAGTAAACTGAAAAATAGGCTACCAGCATCCTTAGAGTAGAATTTAATTTGTGTGAGGTTAAAAACCCATTTTACTGTTTCTTTCAGGGCACAATTAGAAAATGAGAAGAAGAAAAGGGAGATAGCAGAAAAGGAAAAGGAAAGAATAGAGCGTGAAAAGGAAGAATTAATGGAACGCTTAAGACAAATTGAGGAACAAACAATGAAAGCTCAGAAAGGTGAGCTCTTACTAGTGGTGTATTTCTTATATCTGATGACGATGTTTAGTTCAGTTCCACAATTCTCTTGGTATGTGTGGGTTGGTTTTCTTCGTTGTGTTTTTTTTTTTTTTTTAATTTATTTTACTGCTAATAACAAGAATTTAGTGATGTATTATTTGAGAGATTCTTTTTCAATGTTAAGAGTTATAAGATGGTGTGTGTGCATATGTGTATATATTTGTAATAGAAACCCAATTCCTAATATAGCAAAAGTTTCAATTTTCTTTAATAAAAAGGAAATTAATGCATACACAGTTCAACTCAGAATTCTGACATGCTTAAAGTTCTGAAAATCCAGAGTTGGAGGGAGCAGGGCAATTGGAGAGGAAGATCCAAAGTAATTCCTCTAGGATTTTGTTGAATTCAGCTGTTCATTTGGAAATTTCTTGTTCCTTCATTTTCATATTCCCTTGTGAGATTAGAGAATTTTAAAATTAAAATCTTGTCAGATTTTAGTGAATGAACATAGTTTCACCAATCACAGTTCTTTGTGTTGAACCACCCTGTAGAGTCCCTGCCTCCACTACTTCCCAGTCCCTCCTCTCCGTGTTTTATTTTTTTGCTTCAGGTTTGGTTCACATTCATACAAGTTCTGTTCCTCTCTTCATAGCTGTTGGCTTGCGGCACGATAGATAGAATCACTGGCTAAATCTATGGAAGTAAATTACATATGCCTGGCACTGTTCTCTAGCGCTACCCCCGTATTTTTCAGTCAGGTTGGACACATCCAGGCAGGTAACGCATGAACTGTGCCTTGGAATTGTTTAAGGGAGAGCTGTTTAGCCCAGGACAAAACACTGTTGGGGTGATTCTGAAGGTTTAACAATGCACATTTTCTCGTAGCTTCTGTAAGCAGTATAGCCCAACTTCTGATGCAATACATTATGTTCATATGTTGCTGGTCTTTTTAGCCTTCTATTCGCATATGGAAAAGTGTTTCTATAAATGGTGTCTGTGTTCTGTAATTGACTTTCTCCATCTTCGTGGGAAGATTTTGAGTAGTGTGTTTAAATATTTATGCATTTTATTTAATTTTCTAAGTACTGTGTTTGTACAACTCCACCTACTTGTAATGCTGTTCATTTCATTTTGTAACTGAAGCAATAGGGCTGGGAAACCAACTCAAGAATATTGATTCCATGAGACCTACTTAAAACTACAAGTGCAGATTAAGCATGTGTCAGCATACCCGAGGAGATGCTTTTTTAGTGTTAAAGCATATGGTGAAGGGGAAATAGATCGTTCCAATAACTGAGCAGTTGTTGAGGTTTCCTGGTGGAGGAATCTGTGGCAGCTATGCCTAGACAAAAACGTGGTGGAAAACTTATCACTGGAATCAGCAAGGAGCTTCAGAAAGACTTTTTTCATAGTCCTTTTATTTTGCACATCAGAGGATTGTGTTTTGCCTGTGCAAATCTTACCTTGCAGTATTGGTGGGTTATTACTTCTTCCTATGATTTTATGATTATTTCACTCGGAGTTCCACCCTTTAGGTTGCAGTATTTTGCTAACCAGGGAGCTAGACACCTATTATCCCTCCCTTGATTTAAACTTTTCCCATTTGTACCTTTTTGGATCTGTTCTACGGAGAATTTTTCTGACCCTTTCAATGGGTCTTAGGTCATTTTGCTGGGTGCACATGCTTACATTGTCTGTTGCAGTTAAGGAATCTGTCAGGCACGTCAGCAGAGCAGAGCTGGAGGTTTTTTTGCTTTTTTTTACTGTGAGAGGATGATTTAATGTATATAAAATCTCAATAGTAAGAGTGAGAGTATATGTGCATGTATATGTACATATATTTGAGTGTTTAATTTTGTCAGTGGGGTGATAATTTTCTGAAACTCTGGGCTATCAGAACTGTTGGATGAGATGAAGTATATCCAAAGTATGTCTGAAAGGGGGGGGGGGAATCGGACATGGAGTGTCAGATATAACATGCTCAACAGCTCTTCTTAGCTTGAGGCAACCTTATAAATCTTTGTCAGCTTTCTAGATTGCTTTATTTTAAGCATATTGCAGCTGTTATTTGTGTTACATATGAGAAGGAGCCAGGTAGTAATACCTTGTCTGCAAACTTTTCTTTCGGCAGAGCTAGAGGAACAGACTAGAAGAGCTCTAGAACTGGATCAAGAACGAAAGCGTGCGTCGAGCAGCTGAAGAAGCTAAAGCTGCTCTAGCCAAGCAGGCAGCTGATCAAATGAAGAACCAGGAGCAGCTAGTAAGAAGCTTTAACCCTATTTTGAAACAAATTGAACAAGATAGTTGAAAATTTAGCCTTTACTCTTGGTTCTATCTATTTTGTCAAATGGACAAGTATATTGAAACATAGGTAAAAGTATGTGAAATACTGTTACAGGTGGTTGTGGGAACATCTTTAGAAAACTACATTACATTTGCCATTACTTGCAAGAAAAAGTAAAACTCTGGGGCTGTAGGAAATTAAATGATGAAATAGACGTTGCAGACTGCCAATACCCACTACATTCTTTTTCCAGTAGTGTCAGGTTTATCCAGCTGAGAACAAGAGTAGCTTCCTTCTGCAGTCCACTGGGAAGCCTGTTATCTGAAGCAGGTCTGTTCTGAAGCTTGACGGTGATGGTGGGGAGTTGGTGATACTCAGGGGAGGTTGTTTGGTTGCTTTTTGCTGGATTTTTTCCTCTCTATTTCCAGCATTTACAGCAACTTCTCGCATTCTGTGTGAGACTACTTCTAATTCAAGATTTGCACATAATAACAGAGAAAAGCATGAAAATAGTAGAAGAAATTATTTCTTAACTGTAGAACAGCTTTTGATCTTCTGTAAACTAAGTACAGGATTCTGAAGGCAAGACTTAGCTCAGTAGTACTGAGATTATGATCCAGAATCATAATCTTATTGGTGGAACCATTAAAGTTGTATTAAACTGAAACAGCCCCAAATGCTAATTTGTAACTACAGCTCACTCCTTCCCAGCAAGCTTTGGAAGTGCAACAGATAATTTTTTTTTTTCTGGACTTATTTCCATCAGGTAACAGTAGTGATTCATTCCCTTTGTCACGTATGCTTAAAATTTCTACTTTTAGCAGAGAAGTGATGGATGGTAACTAACTAAGGTTTTCAAGTCAGATCACAGCAAAAGCTCTTCTTTCTTCCATTGCAGAGTCAAAATGATACCAAATTACAACTCCTGCTTCATTTTTTTTGTTTGTTTCAGGCAGCAGAACTTGCTGAATTCACTGCCAAGATTGCACTTCTAGAAGAGGCCAAGAAAAAGAAAGAAGAGGAAGCCTCAGAATGGCAGCACAAAGTAATGAGCTTGTGCTGTGTGAAGTCAGAACTTCAAAGAAACTAAGGGAGTTGAGTGCGGAAATCCCACTGGAAGTCCATGGGATTGAATCTCTCCCTTTCCCTTAGGCTTCAGAGAAGCTTTTCTTAAAGGATTTTGTTCTCCAGTCTACTGAAGCCAGCCTATACTTCTATTTAACGCATTTCTTAATATGAAATAGTTATGAAGGGGGGGGAGATTCTCACCACAAAAGTATGGTCAAAGATATGAAAGTGCTTCCTTATGTATGGTGATGAAATAGATTGGAGCTTCATGTTGGAAAAGAAGACACCTCAGGAGGGAGATGTATAAAATCATGAGAGGCGGTGAAAAGATGAGCCAGAACAATAACAAAGGCACATCCAATACACCTGGACGATAGTTTAAAGCAAGATACTATTTCTTCACAAAATCTGTTACTAGCTATGGGATGTGAATACTAATTGTGTGCGCAGGTTCAAAAAGTGTGAATAAATTCTTGGAAGTTCTGGTCAAATATGAAATTTGACCTTTGATTTAGGAAGTCCCTAAGCCTCTCATTTCAGGAGGCTAGGAAAGTTGGAAAGCAATCGGTATGACTGTGCTGTTCTCTCACTCTTCTCTTGTCTGCTGCTGGAAACGGCTGGACTCTGTTACAGCTGGTTTGGGGTCATACCTTTTTTACCCTGTATTCCTATATGACAATTTTCAGTGCATAAGCTGGTAGCGTCATTTTTAAAAGACAGTTTCCATGTGTCTGAAAACATCTCAAATATTTATTTTTCTGACTAGTCATAAATCATTTTAAAAGATGCTAATTAGTGTTTACTGTATTTAGGCTTTTGCAGCCCAAGAGGACTTGGAAAAGACCAAAGAAGAACTGAAATCTGTGATGTCTGCTCCTTCTCCCCCTCCTCCCCCGCCAGTTATTCCTCCAACAGAGAATGAACATGATGAACACGATGAGAATAATGCTGAAGCCAGTGCAGAATTATCTTCTGATGGTGTCATGAATCACAGGAGTGAGGAAGAACGGGTAACTGAAACACAGAAAAACGAACGTGTTAAGAAACAGCTTCAGGTAATGAAGATTCAGTTGTATCAATGTAATTCAGGCTTTGGGGTTTCATTCTTTTTCAAAAATCTCATTGAAATTACAGTGTGCCAAGGAAACAGCCTTTTTTATCATTTACTAGGTTTATTACTAATTTACGAACCGATATCATTCATTCATTCATAGTGTTCTAGAAGTGGAACTGATAGAAAGATTTGATGCGAGATTGTGTTTTATAGCTTAAAAGTATTAGTGTGTTGTCATATTGGCCAGTAAACACTTCTAATAATTACATAATTTCCAGGGCACTGAATGTTAAAACGTAATGCTTTCCTTTCTCAATACTGAAATTCATTAAGTGGTATGAACAGATGCTTGCTTAATAATATTTGTGTTTATTTGCAGTCATTCACAGACGTTGTAAATGCAAAAACTGAATTATGCCCATTTAGGATTAATCTTATTTATGGAGCATTTCCTCCTCGACTAGTCTTATGCTTCAAAATCTAATAATCTGTGTTAGCGGTAACCCTTTGCCTTGAAAGCTGCTTCTTTTTCTGCCAGTGATATCTTAGTGGCGTGTATGTGTAATGTGCTTTCTGCTTGGCCAGTTACTGATGAGGATTGTGGAGGTAGACAAGAGCTGTCTTTAGTCAAGCAGAAATTGAAAAATAAGGTCATTCTCCTGCTTTATCCTGCTGGTCCCTATCTTCTTGGATGTTAAGATGTGAGGCTTTTTTTTTTTTTTTTTTTTTTTGCTGAGTTACTGAACAGCACAACAAGCATTTCATAGGTTGGCATTCAAGAAATCCTTATCCAAGTTGCAGAATAGTTGTTATCAGAAACTCCAGAATCATTAAAAGATTAGTCAAAGCACTTAAATGCAAATATTTTATTCAACAGGCTTTAAGTTCTGAGTTGGCTCAAGCCAGAGATGAAACCAAGAAAACACAAAATGATGTCCTTCATGCTGAGAATGTTAAAGCAGGCCGTGATAAGTACAAGACCCTTCGACAGATCCGACAAGGCAATACGAAGCAGCGTATTGATGAGTTTGAAGCAATGTGAGAGCTGTTATTTTGCATATATGTTCCTCATAAAGCTGAACCACCAACAGAGAAAAAAGCAGGCCTTTGCAGATTTGATGGATTGCACCCTACTTTGCCAAAGCACTTACCAGTTTGAGTACAGTGGCTAGAAGACAGATTTAGGGGAAGCTATTCAACCATAAGGCAGTCTGTCATCCCTAAGTTTTCTGGGGGGAGGGTGTGGAGAATGATAGCAGTTTTTTCCCCGTCATGTTTTCAGTTCCATTATTTTGTATTTTTTTCTTTGGAAACTCATGTGAAGTATATAATGACTGACAGGTGTATGTATTGCTTAAACATTAAGAAATAGAAAGAAAAATGGAACTGAACCTAAACTGGATAGGTACTACTTCTGTACGAAGTTCGAAATTACATTTTTTCAATGTAGCTACACCATTAAGAGATTGATATTGCTGACTTTCAGTTTCACTTATTTTTTTTTCCCCAACTGAAATTTTTTGGTGTTTCATGTCCTGTCATCATTGATGGTTTTCTTTGCCTACCTGTTCACAAAGGTCTGGATGGCAGGTGGTAGTTCCAGGAAATATTTTTAAATGGAACACTACCTGTGTGCAGCACGTGGCTGCTGATAGGCTTGAATAAGTGTTGCTTTTCCTAGGTGATTCTTTTAGATGTGCAAAATGTTCAAATGCAGCAAAGGGAAAAAAAAAAACCACCAAACCACAAAGCTTCGTGTGCTATTTGCTTGCAATTATTTTATTTGCAGTAGGGAGACCTGGACCTTTCTGGCAAGGGAGCATATGAAAACATCAGTCCCAGGGAGGGGACAGTATCCTACCTCACTACTATATACATGATGACTGGTCCTTCAAACACCATGAAAAAGCCTGTTTAAATTGACTGTCACTACACAGTGGTATCATAGAATGCTAGGAGCCCTCACTCCTAGGATTTTGTTTTACTTTAAGATGGATTTATAGTGCTAAATACAGTCTAACTGCCTTTTGTTGAGTTTAAATTGTAAAAGCATCTTGTGTGTTTGAAAGCTGTAACCTGTCACTGGTATGCTATCTCCTGGGAGGGGTGTAGAATGTGTGTATGAGTTAGTTTGGTTTGGGTTTCCAAATACAAAATAAAAGTTCCCAGAATTGGAGTAAAAGTGTTTGTAGCTTCAGTTTTCAGTGAAGCTAGTACTGTAATTGTCATATCTGATGTCGGATTGTTGTTATTAAGTCCTTTCCCTCTTGAAAAGGAGACCTGCTTTGTTGAAAAATTTGCTTAGAAGTTGAACTTCAGAAATAACTTCACAGTTAATGTGGATTGCAGTTATTCCTTCTGTTATAGTACCCTAGTAAATGTATCTACAGTGGAAGAACCCTGCTTTCTCTTGAGGATGGTTCAGCTCTTTTCTGTTTGATATTATGCACTCATAAATTTACACTTATCTATTAAAATTTGCCATTTTATTAAACTTTTTTTTCATGCACAATAGGTTTAAATTTCTTATGAACAGTCCAACTAAATTTCGGTTGGGTTTTTTTTTTATTTTGTGGAGTTAAAGGTTGGCTATGTGGGGTGACATCATGAAAATAAAATAAAGATACATTTAATATATTTTTTTGGTTTGTGGAGCTAAACATATCTGATTGACCTTGAAGACTGATGTGCAGATGGTGTGCACATGCTTCAAAATGCTGCTTGGTGGAAGTTGGTGTTTCTACCTGCAGTGCATTGTAAGAACAGTTTTTTGTTTCACAGGCTTCATGCACTGAAGCTTTAGCAAACTTCTGAAGTATTTGAACAGTTTGCCATAGCAGGTGAAATACTGTGCTTCCAGTGAGTTTCCATTTTTTTCCTGGAAAGCGTGCACTAACGCTGATACATCAATTTCAGTGTTGGGAAAAAATACCAGTAAAGTTTGCTGTTCATAATTCTATGGTATATAGAGTAGGGCTAAATGGATTAGATCCGTTTATAAAGCTGTGTGATTTTTTTTTTTTTTCTAAACAACCAGGAACAACAATTTGTAATATGGATTTTCACAATTCAAAAAGTGGCAAAGCTGCTGTCACCAGCAGTTGGGAACACTTACTGGTGCAGAAATACTAAGAATACACTTAATGATTACTTGGTGAAGTAATTTTCCACGTGCTTTTTCCTTTAGCATCATGTTTTGTGTTGTACAATTAAGCTACAATTACATCTACTATTTTGGATAACATTCGTTGGTTAACAATAAAGAGATACAGTTAATTTCTCTGAGGTCCATTGTTGTTATTTAACACACTTTTTTCTGACAGCTTTGCTAAATGCACTGTAATAGGCTTTTTCCAGAGCAGCATACAAATTTTTATCATCTTTTATTTCACGCTGTGGTCAAAATGAAATTAAAAAAAGTGTTTTCAAATTGTATCCCTAGAGAATGATACTCTGCTTAAGAAGTTACCACGGACAGTTGGGAGGAAGCACTGGCGATTGTCAGTTCAAAACAGGATGTGAATCGTCGGAGCAAATTGGCTTTCTTGAGAACAGAGGGTAGCTGGGCCATATAAGAGCCCTATGAGTAACGTAAGAACTTTCAATCACTGCCTACTTATTGCTTAGCCCCACATTAAGTGAAATTCAGTTTAATAGGTTGACGTCTCAAGCACTGAGAAGCCTTGAGGGGTTTTTTTCATGCTGCGCATCATAGTGGACGGTGCTGTCAAATATATGCGTGGCCATATGCTTTAGATAATGGCAAGTTTCTGGGCTTTTTCACTTGTCTAATACATGTGGAGACGGCAGGAACAGTCCCATATAAATAGGTATACGAATTAATCTGCTAAGCACCTCTCACATAAATTAGACCTCTCAGGTAGCATTCCATTCTGTCTTGCATTCGTTTGGCCTTGCACCCAACACAAGCACATGACCCTTTTTGTAACTCCGAATGGCAGAATTGCAATGATGAATAAAAATGTGTGCACTTGATACTTTTTACCGTGCATATTTCTAGTTTTACACTTCTCTCCTCTTGGAGCCCTCCTGCTGAAGCGTTGGGTTTGAGGTTTGTCATTTGTTAGACACTTTCTGCATGGGTGTGTAACTTCAGAATATTGTGCTTGGAAGGGGAGGTAAGTGCTTTGAAAGGTGTGGTGTTTGTTTTCTTTTTTTAAATACGCTCTTGAGGTGGAGAGAAAAGGATACGAAATAGTCCCACTCTTTACAGGCCAGACTAATAGTCACCCAGAATGCCTCCATGTGAAAGAAGATACTCTGTCTTCTGGAAGCAGTTCCTTCTGCACATCAAAACCTACGTTTTCTGTTGGTTGTACTCTTCGAGTACGTTTCTTGTATATTCTGATTATTTTGCCCAAATCGTGACAAAATTCACATCTGCCTTTTTAAATCTAGTTTGGAAAGCGTTATTGTGCTTTTGCCTCTTTCTTAAAACGTGTTCTCTAGGGCTGTTCAAGTGACTTGCATAAGCACCTCCGAGGAAAAAGGAGATTTGTTCCAAAGGAAATATTTTAAACTTCTGAGGATAAAGTACCTCAAGTATGTTTTCTTACTTTTTTTTTTAAAAGAAAGCATAGAGACTAAAATGATCAGTGAAAACCTGTTGATTTCAAAAAGGAATTTTTATGCAAGTGTTTTTCATGTCTGTTCACATATTCATTGTGTGACAAGTGTAAAAAGTCTTGTTCTCCCCAAGACGTCAGATTAGTTTCAAGAATTGGGGATTTTAACGAAGACGATGTATCTCAGTGGGTGAGGTGATTGGTGCTAGTGGTCATAAAGATGCTTTCTGGGTAAAAATACCAGCATAACAAAACTGAAAGCTTATTTACAAAAAAGGAAAGTTCACTTATTAATAGAAGTTGCCTCATACACAACGTAATGTGTCTTGGCTGGGTGAGAAGGTTTTCCTGGAAAATGTGAGATGTGTCAATGGATCAGCACAGAAGCTGTGGTAATTCCTGTGCTCCCCCCGAAGCGTGCTCGGAGGTGGCGGGTACCTGCCTCCCGGCTCACGCGCTGTCCTGGCTGGCAGCTGGCTGGGAGGTGCTTCTTGGGGGTGCCTTCGGGCGGGCCCCCGTGGCCGCCGGCCAGGCGCATGGTGGCTCTCTGTGACATGGCCTGCTGCTCGCCTCCCAGCCAGGCCATGCAGCCACATCTTCCTCCTAAACCAACTGGTCTGCAAGCATGCAAGTTCTACATGACTGGCCCTTTCCCAGTTTGGGGGCCCAGTCAGCAGCAAGGAGCAGCTCAGGGCTGCTCGGGGAAGGGATGGTGTAACGGTGAAGAGTAAGGGTAGAGGACTATACGGGAAGAAAAAAAACCCAAGAACCTTGTGGTGAGCTAGAATCCTGAACTGGCCCATTTATTCACTTGTGTCGAGGACTCCTTGTCAGTGTACTGTTGCAGCATCCATAAATTCACTATGTGTGACCAATAATTTTTTTAGGAAGTTCAACAGCCAGTTTGCTGGAGGGAGCTGCGCTTTTCATTTTGCAGAGCTGAGCCCCGACCTGTGGGCATAGGTCAGTTACCTGATTTTGGTTTGGTTCGTGGAGCCTAACACTGGTGTTCACTGTTTGCAGATTCTGAGCAGGTAAATTGCTCCTTTGGAGCGCAGTTAGACTTGTTTTGCTTTTTCTCCCTTCACTACGCAGAGATTGGTGACATATCAAATGTGTATGTTTCATTTAATGTGAACGAAGCAGACTCGCCGAAGCTCAGAAAACCTCCCCCCAAAGCTCCAATCCCAAACCATCAAATTTCTTCACAAGAAGAGACCGCAGAGTTTGCAGCAGTGCCTGCAGTATTCTAGGTATTCACGAAGAGCTGGATTATGCCCACATAGCTCGTAGTTCGGGGAAAGGCAAAATTAGCCAAAGGAAGTGGAGCATTCAGAATTGCTGGGATTCCATTAGGTGTTTATATTGGCTTCTGTAAGTAACGCATCAGAGTGTTTCTGTTCACAGCAGTAGGCTTTTAGGCAGCAGAAGAAACGAGGGGAGATGGAGATGCATGTCAGAGGAGGCAGCCTGGTTGATGCAGATATTCCTAATGCATGTGTGTGTGTGAGCTAATGTTCCCTGTGCTCTGGATAAGTGGATTGGGTGAAAAGAGATCAAGTCAGAGGTAGGACAACCACATTGCTGCTTTTTGCTTGTTTGGGTTTGGGGTTTTTTTTTGATTGTTTGCTTTTAAACTACCTTATTTACACGAGAGGAGTTGCCATTATCTGAGTATTTAGCTGAAGACTTCTAGAAAGCCTGCTGCCCAGTACTAACAGGTCTTGGAGTTCTTAAGGCCACGTGTACCCAGACTGGCTTCTGTATTATAGCTTGCTAAATTTCAGCAGAAGGCATCTTCCGCGGTCTGATAATTTTGCCTTGGAGCATTTCTGCCTTGACAAGATGAGTTGTGTACGTGCACGGT